TATTACTACCATTATATTATTTATTACACCATTTTTTAAAATTTAAGAATTTTATGATCTTCTCCGTTGCTTGAGGCCTGGCTCAAATCAGAGTCTGGTAATTCCCCCTAAAATGACTTCATAAAAGAAGTAAAAAAAAAGTATACCAAGTACGTGAAGAAGTCCAATAAGATAAAATTACTATAAACTAATTTCCTCAAATAATAGTTAAGAACAAAAACAAGACATGAAATCAAAGTGTGCTACAAGTACACTCCATATGTCTTCTTCATTATTCAAATTTCCCTTCACTATCAATTACGTAAGTCTAAAAGAAAATAACAGGGAAACTAAAATTTTAAAGAATCAATAGTGTATTTCCATCGCCATATACCAAAAATGTATTGAATAAATTTCATTATGTCTTTTAAAAAAATTGTCCTCAGGATCATTCCATTAAATTTCCTTTAAGTTAGGAAGACTATAAACATAGAAAGGTCTGGTATGTTAACATGGAAAAAGTATTAAAAGTGCAAAGGTTTGCTCACAAGTACTATTTTAATTTATACTATTCTTGTATGCGGTATGGAACATTTTTATAACTATCACCACTATAGGTGTTACATTCAAACTAATAAGTAATTAAATCCTAGATGTATTTGGTGGGCTCTTTTGCAAATAACTTTGCTGACTTTGTAATTATTATGGTCCTGATACTCCCTTATGTATTTCTCAAAAGATTCATGGAACTATACCCTGTATCCTGTTTTAGCCTATGAATTGTCTTGACACAGTACTAAACTATGATAGATTGTGTTTTTTTGCAAAAGGGTCTGCCAAGTACATTCAGGGTTTAATTTATTAGTTTGTATGTAACACCTATAATGATGGTAATTATAAAAAAGTTCTAAAGCGCATACAAGAGTATTATAAACTAAAATAGTACTCATGAGCAAATTTTTACACTTTTAATGCTTTTTGATGATATTACATCTATATAAATTTATCATTAACATATTCTAACTTTTATACTTAAATTTGATATAATTTAAATATAAAACTTCACTCCTAACTAAAACATTTATTAAAAGTCATAATGAAATGGTCTTATCCTGAGGGAACTTTCTTTCAAAGAAAAAGATTTTTTTAATTTTGAAGACTAAATGTACTTAATTTCACGCATTTCTTGTATTTCTCCCTGTTACATTCCTTCTAGACTTTTGTAATTTATTGAGAAGGGTAATTTGGATAATAAAGAATACGTATGTGGAATGTGAACTTGCAGCTCATTTTGATTTCACTTCTTTTTTTATATACTTTCCTATTACTTATGGAATTTAGTTCACAGTAATTTTTTCTTATTGACTACATGTACTTGGCGTACTTCTTTTTACTTCTTTAGTCGTTACGCGAGTCATAACCTCTAGCTGTCGTGTATCCATATATGTACATATGTATATTATTGTGTACCCGCCTTTCTCGCTCTTTTCTCGTACAGGGTGTATAAAAATTATATGTCATGAACACCATAACATGATTCTACATCTCTAGTTTGGAGGAAATCTGCTAAAAAATGGTTCTTAACCTTAGTGTCTTTAAGCTTGAAAATCGAGATGAAAGGGTAAAATTTTTTTTGTTCGAGAGAAATTAGGTTGAAAAAATACAGTAATTTCTTCCATAGATGTTTCTAATCGAAATCGAAACATGTGGATATAATAGTAAGGCATGATTCTTCGAGCTTCGCGACTCGCCTTTATACAATGTAATTGTCGACGAAACTCGGATCGAGCAAAACCATCTGGAATGGTAGTGGCCTAGCATGCCGGTATACATTGCTATGAATACATTGTAATGCTAGAATAAAAACAACAACTTAACCTTTTTATTTTTAATTTTTTATACATGAAATTTTTTTAAATATAATAATATAATTATAATTTAATATAATATAATTTAAATATAATAATTAAAATGATATGAAACATGACATGCTTTAGACCATATACGTAGTAAGTGACTTATTTTATTTCATTACACAAATTGTAATTATAACAAAAAAAGCATTAGAAAAATATTAAAGGCAACGTCAAAAAAGGTATGTATGTCGTTCAAAAGAAAATATCAGTGGAGTAACGCTATTCGGTCCTTGATTCAACTGTGATTTTATGGTTGTCAAAGACGATTCGACTGCGATTTCATGTCATGATTCGATGGAGATTCGGTAGACGAGTGCATCCACTGGATGGATGGGTTACAGATGTGGCGACGAAGGACGAAGGCTGAAACCGAAGTTACATTTTCCGAGGACAAGAGTCGACTCGTCACTATTGTCCGAATTATTGTTACGGTGTAACAACCGCTATATTCATAAAACGAAGAAACAATTACCAAAGTAAAAGTCAATTTGTCTCGATGGCTCTTTTCAGCAAAATTACACATTAAGTACTAAGTAAATAAATGTAATCGAGATTATATGGGATTTGATTTTATTTTAATCAAAAATAATTGCCCAAACTATATCATGTTTGGTCTCATTTTGATCAGAAAACTATCAGCAATATGTTAAAAAAACAATCAGTTTTAAAATGTACAAATTTAAAAAAGTTATGTCATTGTATTATGAGTTGTCTTCCGGGAATTCTCCGGAAGTCTAAGAAGTCAAGGAGCGTGTAGTAGCACATGTGTTCACCGACTCTGTCGAACCTTAGCATTGGTGTAGTGAGAAAATCGATAAATTACAGGGCCGTCGCAATATCGCGGCGCAAATCTGAGAATACTGAAATTCGGCGAATTCGGGTGAAATTACTATAATACTATTGAATGGCGGTCAAGTATCATGTCTGGTCATGACATACCAATTCTACTTCTCATCATACTATAATTTATTTATTTGATTATTTATTATTCGATTACTAAATAAATTGGTGAATTTCCTATTAATTTCCCAATTGTTGACTTGTACAAACCCTGAGCTCGAAACGAATCCAGCACTACGCTAGGCGTAGCACTTCATCGCGTCAGAATTTATAGCTACTACAAATTCTGTCAGTCTGGTTAGACCGTATTTTTCGTTAATAACTCGTTAACACAGCTGCTATTAACATTTTGGTGAAGGAAAAAATTATTTCATGTTACATCAGGAAACTCATACTAATTCTGGTACAACCAATATAAATTATGGACTTCATGAAGCCTTATATACTCATTCTAATCCTGTTGAGAAACTGTGTCAAGGTTTGACTGAGATATAATTCGTAAGAATCTAAATATTATCGATTATTCTTTATTAGACGCAGGATAGTTCTAGTTTTGTTTTTATATAAACCAAAAAAGTAATTTCATTGTTTTAATATTAGAATGAAAAATTTTAATGTTTTAAATTGTTAGACATGTATTTTTTAAATTAGTTACCTATTTACTTAAATTGTTTTCATACAGTTGAAACATTTACATATATAGTGCTTTTATTTAAGATTACATATTTGTAATACAGGTTTTGCTCTCAAAATTCAATCTTTTGTAGGTCATACATACCTAATTTCAAATGATATTCACCTTTTTTCAAATAAAATATACCTTTTGTAAATTAAATTTATTTTATTTTCAAAAGAAGTATGCCAAGTACACACACATGAAGAAGTTTGATAAAAAAAATTGTTATGAAGTGAAATCAAGAGCTGCAGGTACATTCCATACATCTTCTTCATTATTTAAATTTTCCTTCTCTATCAATTACAAAAATTTAGAAAGAAGTAACAGGGAGACATACAAAAATTGGTGTCAAATCAAAATGAGATATAAGTGCATTTAGTCATTTAAAGTTCAAAGAATCAATAGCATATTTTCAGCGCCATATGTCAACTATGGAATTAATAAATTCTATTATGTCTTTTACAAAAAATTTTCTGTGTAAATTTTCTTTAAGTTTGAAAGAACATATAGAAAAGACTAATATATATTAACATGATGTTTATATAGATGTAATATCACTAAAAAGCATTAAAAGCACAAAAGTTTGCTCGCAAGTACTATTTTAGTTTATAATATTCTTGCTTGCGTGCTGGAACATTTGGATAGTTACCATCACTATAGCCATTGCATACAATAAATTAAACCATAGACGTACTAGTCCTTGCATGTGCTATGTCTTAAATACAGTATTTCGTTTAGCAATTGAGACAGCATTACATTTTAACACTCACTGTTAGTGAAATGTTTTGAACAGACTCGTGCATGAGGTGAATATGTTCTACCTTCTTCTTTGTGTTCACTGCTTCCTCACAAGGAAGCATAAAGCAGGGTACTGTAAATAATCACTAATTGTTTTAGAACCTTTACGAAGAAAATCTTGTATATCATAAATAATAATAAACAATACATTCATGTCATCTGTTATAGGTTATGCGTTATTATATTTAGCTATATAATATCAAATATTAACAGTAAAAAGTACTTCCTGAAGAGAAAATGCATTCATAGAAGTCCTGTATTTTTCTTTATAATTTTTAATACAGCACCACCCTATATCATTGATAATGAAAGTTCACTTTATAAGCAATTAGGTTAGGTTGGTTTCAGTTGATTCCAAACTTGCCATGTTATTTTATATTTGATAACTATGTTACGTAACTGGAGCCACCTATCAGTAAAAATGTGATAGCGATAAATTCTATATACAGAATAGTCAGCTCCCGTTCTTAGAACCATTTTTGGAGGCAACGAAAGTCCTTACTCGAGGTACTTCCTCACTATTAGTAGAGAAACTGCTTTGCTCTGATTGGTGATGAGTCACAGCTGAACAGTACTGCCCTCACAGTCAAAGACAAGGAGAGGACGACATCAGCACAAACATACAAAACAAGTCAAACCGATGACCAATATGGCTGCCTTATTTTACCGTACTTGCGGTCCAGGGATTTGAAGATCGATGCATCCGGGTGAGGGGATTGAAGTGAATGCGTGGTCATATTTCAGTCATATTGTAAGAATGTAGGGTTTTGTCTAAATAAACTAATTGATTGTAATATTTCCACAATTACACACAATTTAATGAAGTATTTAATATTTTAAATTGAAATATTTTGATATGAAATTATAAAACTAATAAATAATCATATAATCGTGTTCACATAATCATTATAAAATGATTACACTTTGATAAATAACAATAATAGTTGAATTACTATTTACAAGATGGCAAAAATTTCATTAATCGATATTAAAAATTGTCGATAAAATAGAAGATGTCAATTATCTTTATCTATCAGAAGGTGTGGGGTGCTATCGCCTGCGCTTACTACCAGATGGATACCTTCTTCATAAGGGATGCCAACTGTGGGAGTTACTTGCGGCATTTGCCATCAGATGGATTCTCCTTTCCCGCAAGTAGCTAATCCGTCTCTGTTTGTATGTATACTGTCTTTGTCCTTCCTTCCGATATACCTGCTTCAAAGACAGGACCCACTAGAGAAGAGTGGCGGTTGGCCATAGACTACTGGCCACATANAGTCAAAGACAAGGAGAGGACGACATCAGCACAAACATACAAAACAAGTCAAACCGATGACCAATATGGCTGCCTTATTTTACCGTACTTGCGGTCCAGGGATTTGAAGATCGATGCATCCGGGTGAGGGGATTGAAGTGAATGCGTGGTCATATTTCAGTCATATTGTAAGAATGTAGGGTTTTGTCTAAATAAACTAATTGATTGTAATATTTCCACAATTACACACAATTTAATGAAGTATTTAATATTTTAAATTGAAATATTTTGATATGAAATTATAAAACTAATAAATAATCATATAATCGTGTTCACATAATCATTATAAAATGATTACACTTTGATAAATAACAATAATAGTTGAATTACTATTTACAAGATGGCAAAAATTTCATTAATCGATATTAAAAATTGTCGATAAAATAGAAGATGTCAATTATCTTTATCTATCAGAAGGTGTGGGGTGCTATCGCCTGCGCTTACTACCAGATGGATACCTTCTTCATAAGGGATGCCAACTGTGGGAGTTACTTGCGGCATTTGCCATCAGATGGATTCTCCTTTCCCGCAAGTAGCTAATCCGTCTCTGTTTGTATGTATACTGTCTTTGTCCTTCCTTCCGATATACCTGCTTCAAAGACAGGACCCACTAGAGAAGAGTGGCGGTTGGCCATAGACTACTGGCCACATAGATGTGCATACCGTCCCGGCGCATGCGCGTCTTGCACAGCACCGTCCATGCACGCGATTTCCTTTTGCTTTCTTCCTTCTTGATCATCGAGTCGTCGAAGCGTGCGGGGACGTAAGAGCATCCTCGAGAATACGTAGTGGTAGCGTCGTAGTAAAGACTGCGCGTCATCCCGTTTCACGGTGTTTTAGAAATAATAAATAAACCCCGTTGTTATTTATTAATCCACGTAATCGTTCTTGGAAGCTGACCTTCACACGCCTTATAAGTTAGCCGGATCCGTAAGAAACGGACCCGAGGCTAGTGGGAGCACGTGTTACAAGTGAACCACGTTCCTCGCGCCCACAGAAACCTTACTGACGAGTCCTCTAGCGGGACCAGAACGAAACGCTTCCCTTTTTCCATACTCCTTGGTATTCATTAATAGTCCCTACACCTATCAATATGGCCGACGTATTGACCCCCCTGCCTTCGTGCTCGCTTCACAGTCCGAGTCTAAAGATCCAGTTGATGATCGGTCCTTCAGGTCAATGTTGCGATCTCACTCATTTCGCACATCCGTATACCTGGCGCTTCATCTGAAACATGCAGCATATCTTATTTGTACTTGTCGTTTCGTAGGATTCTCGACCACATCACCACATTATCCATTTGCGAACGATGCTCAATGTACATTCAGATATGTCTCAAATGTATGTGTTGTGATGTTGCAAAACTGCGACATCACTACTCTGTCTTCCTCATGGCCGCACGGGTACTTTGTCGTCACGAGAGAATTCCCAAATTTTGAACCCAGCGATAATTTAAGGAGCGTGTAACGTATTTATCCAGCCCTTCGGCATACACCCTTCGGCATATAACCCTGTAACTGCCAATTAATGGGACCGTTCTCGATGATGACAACCAAGACCATAACCTCTCTCGACACCAGAGTTGCGAGGAATGATTACTTTCGATATCATATCGCCGTCTTACCCCGCCAAGGAAGGAGTCTGCCGAGCGTGGGTGTGAAGGCGCCTTGAGGATACCGAGACTCTTCGGTTGCCGGGAGCGATCACAATTAGACGGTCCTGCCGAATTTTCGTGTCGCATGTTCAAGAAGGCCAGTAGGTGCTAAATTCCGATAATGAGTAGGGTGGGGGTCCGAAGGACCAGCTCCCGTCGTTGCCGAAAATCGCGAAGGATTACTGTCGAGCGAGTTATCGCAGCACAAATTAATTATCATAGCTATGGAGTGTCAAGTGCGTACCCCAAGTTGTCCAAGATCGAGTAGCGATAAGTCGTTTACAGTGATCCTTAGAAGATTTTCGTGATGTGGTTCGATAGTGAATGCGAGTAAGCGAATTAGATTCGAAGGCTATGGCGCTTTTCGCCTGACTCTACTGTTCCGTCCCCACGCGAGGAACGTTTAACAAATTTTCGCGTTACTTATCCTAACGTCGGAAGTTTCCCTCGGGGACATTGCGTTGAAGGAAGAAGTGTTAACGGTCGTCAGCTCGAGGATTCCTAATTGTTTCGCGACCGTCGTAATTTCGTTGAATTTCGAAGATCTCGGGAATCCTTATAACGTTAGCGATTGCGCCGTCGACCGTTACCGTGCTTTTGCGTCACATCGTGTCGAACACGCCGATTTGTGTCTCGCACCACTAGCGAGCTCAACAGTCCTCTTGTAATTACGCCGTCATCCGTGTTTTGTGACATATCGTCAATTTTTTTTTTATAAAATACCATGTTTCCGTATTGTCGCAAATTCGAAAATTTTGACAACTTAGCGTCGCGAGCGAATATCTCCCGCAAAAATTGTATTAAGAGCACGGCCTCGTGGCTGCCCATTTTATAAAACAGTTGACCCGATTAAAGATTGATCTAGAGCCTATTCTCGAGCCGTTATTTAATACTGCGAAATCCGTTCTGTCGTAAGGGTCACCTTCCACTACTCCTGTGTTTGAAACCTTGGATCCTCGTTACGTCTATTCTATCTAGCGGGGACTAGGGTTCGACGACTCTGAAGAAATATTTGCGTTTCGCGTGGCACTCTTTCGATGCCTGGTGCTCGAATATCTTAGCGTCCTCCGCATCGGATTCCTGGAAATCGTGCCTTGTGCCGGGTGAACGCGTACATACGGCAGTGTATGGCCCGGCCAATCCCTGAGTCTCCTCTGACTGCATTGTAGAACTCACGAAAAAGAGGCGATGAAACAGTGTTTGTAAGAAATGTTTTGACAAGTCTAGCAGGATCAGGATTATTGTATTGCCCTGAATGATAGCGCGAGAAAATGAATAAATGCTGGAAACGAATAGTAAAAACTATATATATTTTTTTGGAAGATGTTTATTTGATCGAAATATGACCCACTTGCTTTGATACACTTTTCCCAATAACGACTATTTTTGAAGTGTTTATTCTGTGAAGAGAGTTCTATAGGTGTTTAAAAAAAATGGAAATCCATTAGCGATAGCTCGAGTGAATAGGTTAGATATTGCAAAATTTCATACTTTAGTTTATTTAATTTTTAAACTATTTTTTGCAATGTAAGGAGACCTCACAAATATGATTGGCATCATCCAATCGAACCAAACGGAATGGGCAAGCTCCATCACGAGAGAAGAGTGTAAAGTTTGGTAGACGGGCAGCGAACTGCGCAAGGGAGAGGGTGGGGGTAGGAGCAGAAGAGAATCCGAACAGAATTTTTGACACGACGGGTGAGCGCGACTGAAAATTATAATAATCGTTATATACTAGATTGCTGCATATTAAAGAATGGATTTTTATGATCTGCAAATGTTTGTCTTCTTGCTTACATTATGTTGTTTATCGCATAACCTCTTTCAGTTTTGCCAGCGTCATATTTTGTCAATAAGCATTTTTTAAAAAATCTGTATTACGTCACAAAAACAGTTTCAGAATTAAATGAATTACAGTATGAAATAGATAAAACACTTAGTTTGTGAAGGTGGTATTAAAATCTCCATAGTCAAGTTTGTTCATGCAAAAGACCAGAATTTCCTTAAAAATGGCATTTATACATTAAAATCTTGTTGGGAAAAATGTATCGAAGCAAATAGGTCTTATTTCGATCAGATAAATATCTGTCAAAAGAAGATATGAAGTTTTTACTATTAATTTCTAACATCCATTTATTTTCTCGCGCTAACATTCAGGACAATGCAATAATTAGCTGGGTCTGATCCTGCTTAATTTGTTGAAACATTTTCTACAAACACATGCGTTTGAAACAAATCTTAATATGTATTCAGTATCGTTCGCATATACACTGATAGATGTAGTCAAGAATCCATCGAGGCGACAAGACAAGTCATATATCGCGCCTTGTGTTTCAGGTGGAGCGTCAGTGCGCGAATAGGGAAAGATCGCAAGCACAGTAAAGTGAGAGGTTTCTCGTCCGCGTGGGCACTCACACATACAGCCCGCTGGTTCGTTCTGTCTGTACTGGATGCACAGTAAAATGTGGGGATAGAAAAGCTCTTCTAGTGGACGAGGAAAATGACTCTACGAACAGGAGCTGTTTGTATCTATACATGTACTATATATTGGATACAGGATGTCTCAGCTAACTATCTCTGTTATTTTTGGAGATTTCAAGGTTATCTTCACTTTTTTAATTATAATTATATATTTTTTTAAGCATTAGTTAATGCAGCTCGACATTTTCTACTTATGTCGAAAATTGATTAGTTTAGCAGATATTCAGTGTTATTTTCCAATGAGAGTACATTTACAAATCGTGAAAACCTTAATATACATCAGACATGGGCGAGTGGCGACCCGTGGGTCAAATCTGGCCTGTGGTTCGTCCCTCACACATTTACGCGACATGAGAAACGATTTAACATTGTTTCTTCTGTCTCCACGCGGGGCTGTCCATGTTATATGTAGCAATGGAGTAGTAATAGAAGAGCTTGTGGTCTGCGGCCGAAATAACTCGCCCATGCTTGATATACGTAATATACACTTTTTGATACAGCAAAATCCACAAAATTAAAGTTAAAATATCTGCTAATCTAATAAATTTTTAATATACATAAATTAATACTTTTTTTGTAGGAAATGTCGAGCTGCGTCAATTAATGTTTAAAAAATATATGATTATAATTAAAAACGTGAATATGACCTTGAAATCTCCGAAAATTCTCCAGCTGGGAAAAAACTTATTGTGACCATATTATACATCTCTCTAAAACACTTTTGTTAATAAAGCTTTTCAATACCTCCAAAAATAATAGAGATATTTAAGTGACCTCTTTTAGTTAAGACACTCTGTATATTATGAAAGAAGAAGAACAGTATAAAATTTCGAATTCCTTGATGATATTGCATTACGATATCTCTTCACATAAGGATCAATGCTATTAACATCGGGTATCATTCGAAAGCTCTTACGCGATTTATGTAACGAAAGTTTCTTAAAAATTTGGGAATATTGCAGGCCTGCTGAGACATTAGTAAAACAAGTTCCAGATTAACCCCTTAACGCGCAGAAACGTATTAACACGGGCGTGCAAAACCGGCCAAAATGTGCAGACCCGTATATATACGGTCGGCGTCGCAACTTATGTCGCTAAAATGTTCAGATTCGAATATATCCGGGCAGTAAAAATAACTTAATAAAAACCAAGGAAAACATTCAATTTATTGATATTCATCGTGTAATTCTGTATTGTAAGCTGTAAAGTTTGTTTATTTGGGATTATAAAATATGGCCTTTTAGGGTGACACTTATAAGCATCTCTGACCTGGTAATTGTTTCTATCTATCTATATCCATTATTGTGTATCTAATTAGCGTTGGCACTTTTGTGAGTTTTGTTATGACTAATTTATTTATTACTCTCCAGTTATCTCCGATCTCTTTCTATTTTTTGCTTATTCAGGAATAAAATATGCACTTTTAGGATGGCACTTATGAACATTTAGTGTATTATTCGTGAGCAAGTCGTGAAGTAAAGTAGACGTTATCAAAGTGAATTTTTTCAAAGACAATTGTTTTTTATTTTTTACAAATATTATTAGTGTCAACATATAAAAACGTTTTTGTTTTATG